TTCTTTCCCAGAACTCTTCAAATTAAATTAAAGGATCTTTAGACCGATTTCCTAAGGTATTTTGTGATGTCTTACTCACTTCAGGGAAAATAATGTGATTTCTTGCTGGATATAAATATCATGGATAGCCAAGGGCCATGGGTTAATTTCCAATTAAGTGTGAAATCAACAGGTGCTTCTCTCCTTTATCCTCTTTAGGACCTACCCACCCCCTCATTGAGTACCTTTGAAGAAACACAGTAAGGACAATTATAATGACGGTAGGAGAGTAAAATGTAGGAGGAAGGGAGAGTAAGGGAGTGTGGGAGAGAGCTGCTCCACAGTATAGCATAAAGGGTGTTCATGAGGGTGAAGGTACCCAAGCCACATCACCAGGAGCTTAACTGTCATAGGAATGAGCACCTGTCAGACCTCAAGTCATAGGAATCCTTCAGAACTGACTGTTGGAAGCTGCACAAGGCAGAGTAGCTGGGCCTGGGTTATTGGCATGAAATTCCTACATGAGAGAACAAGTATGGGGGGAACTGAGCCATGCATGGGGACAGCTTCCATAGGGTGGTGGGGATCAGGATGGCTAGTCACAGGGCTAAGGGACATGACAGTTTCCAGACAAGCAGTCTACACTGCATTGAAGAATCCAAGAATTAGGTGGTAGATAGATAACATTTGGGAAGATTCTGAATGGCAGAGCATGATCCACCAACCCTGAATATGTGTAAAGAAGATTCCATTCCTGGATAACAACTGAGGCAGCTGCTACTGCTACTACTACTATTATTAGTTAATATTAATTGAGCACTTATTAAGGGACAACCACTGGTTTTTTGGGGTGAAGTAACTTGCCTATGGTGATTGAGACATGAATACAGATAACAGTGTTCGAGTTTCTTTCAGGGGCATTAGAGGCCAAGGCTAGCAAAGAAGGCATGGAGAATAGAGGAACCCAGCCTCTACTGAGCCCTTCTAGATCTCAACCCTAGAAGGAAGACAGAATTCTGAGTCCTGCAGGATTGTAGGGGTGGAGAAGAGGTGAGGGACAGTTAAGACTGAAGTTATCCATACCCCAACTACCTCACATCCTGATGGTTCTGGAAACTACAATAGGTGGTACCTGCCAGCATCATGGGACCTAGATGGGAGTAGCTGAGGAAGAAGAAGGCACAGGGATAAATCCAGAGATGACAATACTAGCAGAAACTTAGTTCCTACAGGCTTGCCAACAGCTGGAAAAGGAAAGGCATAAAGAAGGCCACTGCCTAGCCCTGTTCTCCAGGACCAGTAAAGTCCTATTTTGCAGCCTTAATTTCAGACATCTTTTTCCAGCATTCTGAGGACCTGGATCTTCAAGAAATGTGCTTCATAGAGGTTCAGAAGAAATGATACAACTTGAATGCACACCAAAATAAGGAGACCCACTATCTCATGGGGAGCAAGTGGAAATATTGCTCTGGAAAGGGCATTCCTGGGGATTTTGGCCCCATCTACCTAGACTGACAATCTCCTTTTCTTCCAGCCTCTGAGAAAATGTTGGACACCTTCACTTTGCACTCCATTGATTCCTTAAAACCCAGCAAGTCTCTAAATTTAACTGACTCAGGAAACTCAGCTGTGTTGACTTGAGTTGCCAGGACCCTGAGGGCAAGCTTAGAGGGTTAAAACTTATGTATCTTTTTTAGGAGAATTTTCCCAGTCTGGTGGATGCCACAGGAGATTAGTTAAGGGAAAGGTCTGGGTTTGGATCCTGAATCCACCATTTCCTGGCTGTGGGAATGTGAGCAAATTGTGTAACTATTCTGTGCCTCAGTTTTCTCATCTGTAAAATGGGCTAATAGCAGTACACACCTCATAAAAATACTTTCTGGAGGAATTCAGTAAACCCATGCAAAGCACTTAGGCACACATTTGGCATGTAGTAGATGCTATATAAATGTTAGCTCTTCTGGCCAAGTGATACGAAGGATACATGCCTCATCTTGGGCCTTTGGGAAAACCGCTTCTGCCCACCCTCATCCTAGGTAGACTATTAGTAGTTAACAGACTGGTCACAAGCATTAAGGTGCCATCTAGGAAAACTAGCCTCCAAAGAGCCCCCCTGGTACTCCAGCTACCACATTCTTTGGTGTGCTGCCTAATTGTATCTGTGTGTATTTGAAAGATGGCAGAAGTTGAACACCAGGGTTTTTAAATTCCCACATATGTGGAATGCTAATGGTCACTTTTTCTTTTGAGGGATTAAAGTGTTGATAGTGAGGTGTCTATGCTGAAAAGGAAGGCTTCTGTAGGGAGCTGATTCATCTCTCTTGGAAGCAGCATTATGTCCCCCAAGAAGATACCCTGTCCTAATCTCCATGACTGCAATTACATGGCAAAAGAGATATTAAAGATGTGATTAAGGTTACTACAGACTTTAAAACAGGGAGACTACCCTGGATTATCTGTGCATGGCCCAATGAAATCACTCCCAATAAAAGGGTGAGCCTTTAACAGCTGAGGCAGAAACAGAAGTTAGAGAGATGCAGAAAGGGAAGCCAAATTATTTGATTTACTGTCTTTAGCCTGAAGACAGAGGGGGCCACATGTGGAAAACAGATTTGTCCTACAGCAACAGGGCACTGAATTCTGCCAAAAACTGGTGAGCTTGGAAGATGATCCTGAGCCCCAGATGGCAACCACATCCCTGACTGATACCTTGATTTTAGTTCTGTGAGACTCTAAAAAGAGAAGCTGGCCATACTATGCCAAACTTCTGACCAATGGAAACTGTGAAAGAATAAATGGATGTTGTTTCGAGCCACTACATTGGTAGTGATTTGTTACAGCATCAGTCGAAAACTAATACAATGTTCCTGGGCTTCAATTTGTACATATGTCAAATGAGGGCAAAATATTTTGTCTTACATAACTTATGGGGCTGTTATGAGAACAAAATGATGGGTACACGTGTGCTTTGAACAATTTCAGGTTATAAAACTGTTCACATATTCTCCAATAGGGGAAAAATAGATCTGTATTGAAGCAATTGGATTGAAGGAATTAAGAGTTTAGAAAGCTTGACATTTTCCAGGAGAAGTGCTGAGGGTTTGGAAGGCTGCTTCTCCTCTCCTAGAGAAGTAGTGCAGCAAAAGTGAAATCCAAAAACTTAGATCCAAGTCTATTTCCTATCTTTGTGACCTTGAGCAAGTTATGTCACCTCTCTGAGACCCAATAATATAAGGGTAATCATCCCTGCTCTGCCTAGATGATACGGTTATGTGAGGCTCAACAGAAAGAATGAGTGTGAATATATGATGGAAACAAAGTACCCAGATGGAAGTCTTATTCATCCTTCCCAGTGTGTGCCCTGCAGCTGGAAGCAGGTATCTTGATTGTGGTAAATTAGTCATCCAAAGAAAGTATAGTTGAAAGAGCCTTGGGATGGTACTCTTCAACTGTTTTCTACCATTGGCTCTGGTGTGTGGCCTTAGACAAGTCCCTTCTCTCTGAGTCTGTTGCTCCATTATAAGAGGTTAGATTATAGCCAGCTACCTTTGGCTGGGCATCAGAGTCACCTGGAAACATGGGTGGCAGATGGCAGATGAGCAAGAATTTTCTCTTTTTTATAAGTGCCTCCTATCCACAATAAACTAGCCCCCAAAAGCCCAAGTCAAAGGAGTTTCATTACATCATGCCAAATAAATCCTATTCAAGATATAGGAGTTGATTCCCAAGTATCTGGTTTGAAGCAGCTGGTTCTCCAAGGAGTCTGGATGTCTTGTTATACTTGAACTAAAACACTGGCCAGTATCAAACTGGTTAACTAGAGTCATACTCTTCCCAGTGCCTTGCAGTCCCCATTATTGTTGCTTTGTCACACCTGTGATATTTCCTTCTAGAATACCCCTTCTCATGTGAATTGATGATGCTAAACTATGGTCAGACAAAACCTGGTAGAGTTGCCCATGTTTTCATTACAATGTTGGCTGGAGTAAAACCCATAGCTAAGAATAACTGAATGCCAATGCTGAAAAGGCCCGTTGAGACTACCTGGTTTAATGATATACAATTTGAGGCCTAGAGAGGGAGAGGGACTTGCTCAGCATTACAGAAAGATAGTGACAGAGGTGAATCTGGACCCCAAATGCTCCTGAAGGGAGCTCTTTCCAATGCTCCATGTTGCCTTTCTCCTGCCTTTGATGCTCAGATATTTGAAAGTCAAGTAACTTTTAGTCTCCCTATTTCCTAAGCTGGTTTCACGATTCTTTGAAGAAGAGAAACTTCATTTATATGTCATCGAAGTACAAGGCCACGTACAAAGCAATGTAAGAAGCAGGCAGGTATGGACACAATCTTTGTAAACACTCCCAAAATACCAGATTGGCCTTATCCACCATTTTTGGTCTTTGCCTCACCAAGAGGTCTCTTTCCTCAACCTGCTTTGTTCTCTCAAGAGCCTTATGATCAGTGCTTCTCAAACTTAATGTGCATAGATATCTCCTGGAGATCATATTAAAATACAAATTCTGATTCCAGATGTCTGGGATGGGGCCCAAGAATCTGTATTTCTAATATGCTCCCAGGTAATGCTCATGCTGAGGCTGATTGTGGACTACCTTTACAGTAACCAGACTTGAAGATGTTGTCTCATTTCTAAACATCTTCTCCATTTACTGTCAGCATTCATTTACCACTGTGGGTAGTGTGGTGTATTAGAAACAGGAAGGCCCCTGTAGCTTCTAGTCTTGGGTTTTTATCAATCCCTATCTGTACAACTTATTTCTCATCTCCCTGAGCCTCAAGTTTCCTTATCTGTAGAATGGGGCTGTCATCTATCACATAATGATGTTGTGAGCTCTGAAGGAATGACAGGGCTTGATGCAAAGTAGACTGTAGATTGAGATCCCTGGGTACACAAATATTCTGGGATTACATTTCCTTAAAATTGCAGAAAACAATATGAGCCTCATATGCTTAATATGTTCAAAGAATGTTTCCATGACAAACCTGAAGATGGAGGTCATTAATACTAGGCAGTCTGCATATTTTATTGAAAGTCACATGAATGGGCCCCAGGATCTAATTCCTTTTCTTCTGGTGTTACATATGTATTTCACATAAGCAGTCTTTCTAGTATCTACTAATGTCCTTAGTATCAAGTGAATCTTTTCCTTATGAAAATGAAGGCTTTTTTTTCCCATCAAAAACATTTCTTCAAGGTATCTTGCTTTTCTCTGCAATTTTAAAATACTTCCAAAACTTTTTCTGGGTTTGTAATGTGTCAAGGCCATTTATCTGCATCCACATTAAAAATAGTATCATTGATATACATTCTCTCAAAAGCAATTTTTTCTAGTCACAGAAATACTTCTACTACTTTATTTGTTCTAGTTATTACAGAATTAAGGAACTTCTTGAAAAAAGAAAGATTCTTTCCCATGATAGCAAGTTATTTTAGAAACACTCTACATGACACTATTTTATCACTGAATTTGGATGCTATGCTTTGCCCCTCAGTGGCTAGACAATACCCTTCATCTTTTTTTTTAAACAAAAACTTCAATAATATTTCTTATTCTAAATCATCTCTTAACTTTTGCTGTCACCACAGAAAAAAACATAGGTTTTGACTACCAGACATTAAGTAGTGCAGAGGTACCAAGACCACTTCTACTTCTCCAAACTGCATGTGTAGATGTCCCAGTCTCTTGGGCTGAAACTGCACATGCTAGAACCTTGATGAAGTAACAAACACATACAAGGACCTTTTCCTCTTTGAAAAACAGCTAAATCGAGGACTTGACAATTACCAACTAAAAAATAAATCCTTCACTTCACACGTAAAATTAGATGATCATTTTAAAAACATTACCAAATGGGCACACAGAAGATGAGGAGAAAACGCAACTCAGAAATCTCTCCCAGCCCACTTTTTGTTCCTCTGTAAACTGGACCTGCATCCTTTCCTTCCCGTCAAATGCTTGATTTTTAATACTTGTTAAGCAGGCAAGAGTTGAAAAGTCATGCCGGCTCCAGTAATAAGGCCTTTGTGTGGCAACAGGAAAACAGCATGGGATTCAGAGTCAGAGAGGCCTGTATTAGAATCAGTCTTATTATTTACTTTCTGTATGACCTTGAGCCAGTTACTTTAACCAGCTGGGCCATAAATCCTTTACATGTAATATGAGGAAGGTAGTATCTACTGCATGATTGTTGTAGGGACTAACTGAGATAATGTATATGAACCACTAGCACTTAGTATGTGTTTAATAAATGTTATCACTCTCAGTTCAAGATTTATAGTTCATCAATTGCCAGTTTCTTTAACTTGCTGGCCGAGGTATGCAGATAATTTTCTAGAGTTGACATGCTTCAATTATCACCCCCTTCCCATTGCCTTTTCTGAATGACTATCCATTCATCAAGCCTAGGCCAAGTCAGTTTCGTTCTATTCCATGACAGTGTGCTTCACCATGGAAGTTTTTGCTCTTTAAATCAGAAAACAAAGTGGGAGGTATGAGGTTCATTCTTTGGAATTCTTTGGGAATAGCCTAGGGCAGGAGCTGAGCTAGCCAGCCACTGTTCCCTGGCTTCCAGTCAGACTGGTGGTCCCAACTCTTTAAGCCAGGCTCTTGATCTGCATCCCAAGAAACACACAGCAATCTCACAGTCACATTTCTGGGACACGTATTACACTGGGATTGCAGTGGCTTTCTCTGGTTTTCAATAATCTCTCAATATCTGTAGTGGTGATTATGGTATTTTGCTTCAAGAAAACCAGAATGAAACCATGTCTCCAATATCTTCAAAGGTACTGAGGCCACATTGTCTACTGTTTCTATGGCCAAAATCTGCACACTTGCTTGCTTGAGTCAGTCATCTAATGGGACAGAGCAGAGAGGCCACATTTCTGAGATTAGGGCTCAATGAGTACTTCCTGAAGGAGGCCAGCAGGTCTCACAGAGACTCCCCTTGGGGGTGAGCAGCAGGTAGAATGGTGGCCACCTGGACCTCTTGCTACTGGTTTCTTAGCAAATTGGCCTTTGAGACTGGGTAGAGTTGAGAGTTCAGTATGGCCACACGGGCATGTCTTCATTAAAAATGGCATCAAGTTTCTACTCAATTATTTTCACAAAGGCCCTCAGTATGTTTAGACTTCAGTCCTGAAATTAACTATTGCCTTTCAGTAACACCGTTCCAAAGGTCTCTTAGAGTTGGTTTGGGCATGTGTGCTTTCTGTCTCTCTTCTCCTTCGTCCATCTCCCTCTCCTCCCAACCCCTCTCCCCATGTCTATGCTTCTTTATCAGTACCATAGTCAGTTCACTAGTGGGGCCTTGCTAGAAGACTCCAAGTAGGAAAGCCCTTTCTCTCACACTGGACCACACTGTCATTACACAGACCCTAAAGACAGACTATCTAAGTCTCCCCTAAAGCCAAAGCATCTGCATAGAAACATGAGCAACGACACTTTCTCCAGCAGCTTCTTTTCAACAAACAGGAATCAGAAATGTCTACTCCTCAGATTTCTGACTCAATGGGTGTAGACCTATGGTGTTTTAGTTCCTTTCCAATGATTGAAATAGCAAATGAGGAAACCAGGAACTTACGTCTGGAAGTCCCATTTGGTGGCAAAGGGCTCAAGAAAGAGGGTAAAAGCTAAACCTTCAAAATGATGACCACTAAAGCCACCAATCATATGGCCCCTTGATAGATAATCATTGTGTAATGGAAAGAACCTTGTGTAGGAGCCCAAGGATGTGGGATCTTGTTTAAGCATGGCTGCTACCTTGCTCTGCCTCACTTTCACCAATGGTAAACTAGGTGGTTAGACTAAGTAATTTTGAAAAGCCTTTCCAATCAAATATTTTATGGGTTATAGAAAAGGTTTTTTATCTCAAGGGCTGAGATTATTAACCTTTATTGTGTCATAGGCCCAATTTGAAATTCAGTAGAATGCTATGGATCATCTCTCCAGAAAAGGCACATTGTCATGGAAGTCTGCATATCATTTCAGAGACTTTATGAAGTTCTTGAATCCATAGATAGTGGGTTAAGATTGTTTCTTTCAGGAGGTAAAAGAGCTTATCTGCAGAAGGCAAACATGAAGCAACAGTGGCAGCTGCCAGGCCTCAATCCATCTTAACAATTTTTTCCCCAGCATTTGACCCAAAACTGGAACTCCCACAGGAGAAACACAGGCTGCCTTTTTAAAAAGAACTGTTTTCAGCTTTTGTTCCTTTCTTGATTGCTTGGAAAGGAGGCTGTCAGGAGAAAACAGGAGGAATAATTCAAACAGACCTAAGCTTTGACATGCAAAACATGCTTTACAGATTTGTCCTAAGTGGCTATAGGCTGAGCAGGAAGGTCAACTTCCTGAGTCTATATGAGGGGCTGTGGGGGCATCACTCATTCTGTCTGACCCCATGGGAGCAGACACATTCTTGGCACGTAGGGCCAGAGCTCCAACCTGGCACCAGGGTCTATATCCTCAGTAAGAGACATGTTAAGATTCTCCAATGTTCAGCAAACACTCCCACTCCTCTACTTCCAAGGTAAGCAATGGCTCCCAACTCAAGTAACTTCTAGTTCAGGGTAAGACCTCTGAGATCAGTCTTCAGCCCCAAATCTTTCAGAGTGGGATGGCCTTTTGAGGAAGCAGGAAGTTCAGAGAAGAGTTGAAAAGTGAGCTCTTCTCTTCGACTCAGGTCAGGGGATAGCTTGGTTTCTGCAGTCTGGCTTGAGGGAGGGAGTTCAGCCACTCACAGTCTTACAGGAGCTCAAGGTAGACCTTCTGAGGGAATGAAGACAGAATACAAAGGAGAAATAAACTTGTGTCTAGGACATGTGTCCCTTATTTTATAGCATCCCAGAGCCTGAAGGTGCAGGGACAGGAAAGATCTGCTCTTCATCACAAAAGGACTCAGCACACAAGGGTTTGAAGAAGACCCTTCTAGAACCTGGAAAGTGTCCCCTGAGGCCAAGGCTTTTAAAACCTGAAAGGGAAAGAAGAGAGTAAGGAATTAGCTAGGACTGGTTAAGCATTTAACAGCCTCTGAGCAGTAGGGCCTCTTTTAGTGGGTAGCTAACCATACAAATTGGTAGCTAATCTTCTGAGCAATAGGGGCTGGCTAGGAAAAGGCCCTTATAACTCAGATTCCCATGAAACAGTCCTAAGATGGTGCTATAATCAGGGCTGGAAATTGTGTGTCTTTAGCCATGACTCTAATCCCCAGAAAGTCTACAGGGGTGCAGAAGCCTGATACCTCTGAGATTACCCCCCTTGCAGAATGGCCACTGCCTTTATAGCCTTACAATGACTCACAACTTCCTTTCACTGGGACTTCACCTTTGTAAGAGCTGATAAGGAAGAGCTTATCTACCCATAGACCTCTGAGGACTGGCAGTGATAGGAAGAAAAGGAAGGCTGAGGAGTACATGGAAAGCTCGGCTGCAGATATCTGGATCTCATTTGTGCATATATTGCTTCATGTCATGCCAACGATCTGATAGTCAACCAGAACTCCTAGGTAGAGAAAGAAATTTCCAGGCCCTCCATGGCTCTGGTGACCTAAGCAAGATACTTAACCCCCATGAACCTCAGTTCCTTTATTTGTTGAATTAAAATACAGATTAGCCTCCCTCTTTCTGACATTTGATATAGATCAAATGAGATAATGGATGTGAAAGTGCTTTGCATTAGACAAATATAAAGGACTCAGGATGAAGGTCCAAGGGGGTAAGATTGAAACAATGATTTGATCTGAAGGCATGAAATCCCTCTATAGATATGAAGGTGGACTCTTGGGACCTGCTATAATACCAAAAGAGAGGCTGCTGATCTTCTTATAGACCTAAAGAATGTTGCGGTTAGAAGGTTCCAAACTTTTCATTTTACATATGGGAAATTGAGGCTCAGAGAAGGAAACGTAATTACCCCAAATATCACAGCCTAGGATTCCTAATGAACTTGATTCAAAGGCAATTTGTAAAACTATACTGCAGTCTGGCTAAGGGAGAAAGAAAGGCAAGAGAAAGGAGACTTAAAAACAAAGAGAATCTCAGAATAAAAAGGCAGTAAGTTTAAGGGTCATGTAATGATAGGGTAGTGAACTGAGGCATGGAGGTGAATTCCCCCTCTTTGGATCTACATGGTATTCCAGTCCTCAGAAACTCAGATTTCATAAAGAAGGTTTATGTGTAACAAGGTTCTGTAGTTAAGGGTGGATACTACATACCTGAGGCCTCAACTCTCATCTCCAGGAAGTCTGCCTTGAGAACTGTGGGTAAAGGAGGAAAGACATTTCACTAAGACTATAGAAATCAGAACTGGAAAGACAAAGCAAGAGGATGGGTGACCCTTTCAGGACAGTGACAATTAGGCCATCTGAAAAATGGGGTAGTGATTATATCCAGGTGTTTCAAAACATCTCACTCCATGCTTATATGCTGCTTATATACCTCTCTGGCAGAATTAAAGAGCCCAGTTCCCCAGAAACAAAGGTATCTTTCAGGTGCCAGCACAATCCTTTGAATGCCAAACTATGGGAGACTAGGGAAGACCAGAGAAATTGGGCCAAGAGCAATGACTACATTCTGTGATTATCTCAAATGGGAGCAAGGCAAAGAGGGAGGGAAAATGCCATGTGAAAAATGAATACTCCTTTGCCTTGACAATCAAACCAGCCTTGCCCAACATCTTGATGTACTTAGATCAGTCTTAATGTAGCTTTGTCAGGGGATGGTTGGAGGAAAGAGACAATCCTGGAGAATCAAATCCCATAGAATGTGGCCAGAAAATCCCAGACAATAGCTGGCCCCAGAGCTATATCCTCAGCATTCTTTTTCTCTTCTCTCTTAAGTATATTTACACTGACTACCTATGTGATCTTATTCCCATCCATGATTTCAATCCCCATTAAATACTAAGAACCCCCTCAAAGGCTACTATTCACATTGTAGTATATGTGAATGCCCCCATGAATTTGTACAATGGCTGTGCTCAACAGTTCTACCTCTAACTCTATGTAGGTCCAGCCTCAACTACTAGGCTAAGTTGCAGTACCCACTGGACACCTTGATCTGGATGTCCTGCAGGGTTCTCATAAACAGTGTCCAAAATTGAGCAGAGCAATTTTCCCACAAAACCTATTCTTTCATGATTGATTCTTGCTACCATCCAGCTAAGTGCCCAAATTAGACTTCCCTCTCTCTTACTCTTTCTCCAATACTCCATGTTTGAAAAGTCAGCAAGGTTTTACTGACTCAACTTCAAATCTGTCCTTCCATTCCATTCCTACTGACAATGCCATAGGTCAGGGCCTCATCAACTCTTGCTAGGATGATTAGCTTCTTAATTGGTCTCCCTGCCTCCAGGCTCTATTCTCACAACTACCTTCCTCATTACCATCAGAATTTTTTTTTCACAATTGGGGCAGCTCAGAATATATACTGTCATGCCTAAAAGTCTTCCATGACTCCCCACAGACTAAAGAATAAAGATCAAACTCCTTAGTATGTCATATAAGGCCTTTACAATCTGGCGCTAATCCATCTTCTTGGCCTCACCTCCAGTCAAGCTTCCTTCTTCTCACCCCTACATTCTAGCCAAAGTGGAACCCGAATCACTTCATAAGCCTGTTTTGCAGAACTATTCTGCCTTACTGAAATGTCTTCCCCTCCTTTCTCTTCTTGATGAGCCATTTATTAGTTTCTCTAGAGTTATGAATTTTTTCAATTGTGAAATTTAGATGAATGAGAAGTGAGGTCATTCAAATGTCACGTTGCAGTCAGGTGTACAGATGGGAAGCAAAAAGAGGCAGAGCCAAGGTTAAACAGGTCACTTTCATTTGATATGAGAGATGAGACTAACTGAGGCTAGTCTGAGGGTCTTGACCAGGAGCTGGCACGTAGAGGTACTGATGCAAGTGGTGGTTACAAAATGGGCACCTAGACAGAATGGGGACTTTCCCTATGTGGAGGCTGAGTGGGAGGCAACTGTGGGTACCTAAGAAGGTCGCTCATGATATACTGGAGGACAGGTGTACCCACTTTGATATTACCCAAACTCCTGCAAAGTGGAATCTGGGGATATGGAACAGGATTAAATCTAGGTTCCAGAGGCCTGAAAATAGGAAGTGCCTGCTTTGGTCACAGCCCCCTATTTTGTGGTCAAAGACTTCCCTGAACACTAAGTGACAAAGCCCAGGCAGTGGTTACTAATCTCTTTTCACACTTTCAATACCAGTTTGGCTATAGTTTCCCTATTGGAAGTCAGGCTGCCTTAAAGATTCTACTGGACTTTGTTCATGCCTGGTATATATTCCCTCTCAACGCTCTGGTTCCCTGTCCAAGGTTACAGATCAGTCCCTCACATATTTCAGTGTATTCTATCCATCTTTCAATACCCAGTTCAGATACTACCTCCTCTAAAAAGCTTTCTTTAGATATGCCCAGTTCATTCTGTTAATTGTAGTTTGCATCATGCTATTTATTTTTCATATGGTTTTCCTATGGAGGGAGGAAGAGACACCAGGAATGGGAAGTAGTCCTACTCATAGTGTATACTTTGTTAGGAATATTAAGATCTCTCTCTCTCTCTCTCTCCCCCCCTCTCTCTTTGTTTTTCTTTCTTTTCTTCTCAAGGTAAGTATTTGATTAAGCTTTCTTTAAAAAATTTCCTAAGTGAAAACTTTATCTTCATTCTATCAGTAAGAGAAATCTGGGACTTTGACCTCTCTTTCATATGTTATGGTAGAATAAATGGTAAATTATTGTCTAAGGAGAATTTGGCCCAGCCTAGGGTTCCCTGTGGCTGACTGCCAAGCTGAACTAGGGTGACTTTCTGTTCAGAATCATGTCCTGGTAAGTCAGGTCCCACAGTTTTAACTAGATGATGTCAAATCTATCCCAGCTGCACTGCTGGGAAAGGTGCATTGTTCTGCTTTTAACTGACTACCTGGAAGACTTACACTCCTGTCACCCATCAGGAAGCACAATTTCAAACCTTCTGGTAAGTGACATGGAGTAAACTCACAGAAGAGTCCCTGAAGGCTAAGCATTCATTTCTCCAGGTGTTCTAGTCTAAACAGTCCCAAATGACAGGCCTTGAAAAGTCTGTACCAGCACCTAAGGAATTTTAAAAACAACAGGAAGGAAGAAAACAAAACAACAACAACAGAAAAAACAGATTCTCAAACGTTACTCTTGGAGATTCTATTTTAGTGGGTCTAGAACATAAAATAAATCTGTGTTCATTTTATTTTCCCTCTAAATTTTCCATGTGATTTATATGTGCAGCCAGTTTGAAAGCAACCACCTAAGTCTAATGTTTATCTTTGAAATGAGGGCTATGCTTCTTCTAAGGCTGTTTATGTTAGAGTATTACATTCTATATATTCCTGTCAGTTATCCTTTTAGAATATAATAGGATCTAAATAAGTAAACTAACAAAAAAGGGATAAATTGGAAGTTAGAGTTTTGCAGACACTAACTACTATATACAAAATATATAAACAAGTTTATACTGTATAGCACAGGGAACTATATTCAGTATCTTGTAAATACCTATAACGAAAAAGAATATGAAAAGGAATATATGTATGTACATGTATGACTGAAACATTATACTGTGCACCAGAAATTTACACAACATTGTAAACTGACTATTCTTCAATAAAAAAGGGATTAAAAATAACACCTACATTGAGCTTAAAGTTTTTGCAATACTACTTGGCATGTGAGTATTCTGTGTGTATGTGTGTGTGTGTGTGTGTGTGTGTGTGTGTGTAGTGGGTGGGGAGAGAGAGAGAAAAGAGAGAGAGAGAGAAAGAGATGGAAAAACAGTCAGAGAGGCAAAGAGACAGCAGATAAAGAGACAGACAAAGAAAGTGAGACAGAAAAAGAGTGAAAGAGATAGGGAGACAGAGAGAGACAAAGACAGAACCAGGGACATAAGTGGAAAAACAGAGAGACAGAAAGAGACTGAGAATTACAGACACAGAGAAAGAAACGGTATGTGAGACAAATAGAGTGACAGAGAGACACACAGGTACAGAGACAAAGACAGAGACACAGGGTGAGAGACAGGGAGACAGAGTTGTGGGAGAGGAAGGAAAAAAGACAGTCAACACATAGAGACAGAGACAGAGCTACAGAGAAACAGCAAAAGAGAATGTAAGAAAGCAAATGACATGCTCATGATGCATTTACTAAAAAGTGATTTGGTTTCTCTCCTGTCACCTACATGTCTTACCTTCCTGTTTTCCGGGACGCTGTTTCAAAGAACCTGGTCCTGCAAGCCACCCTGCAAACAGAAGCCAACCAAGTCCCATGAGTTGGTCTGAAATACATGTGAAAACCAATGGCCAGTGGAAAGGACAGAAAAAGTGAACGAGATGGGCCGCTGATGCCAGGCTCTGCCGTAGCTTGCAAAGGACCTGGGGCTGAGGAAAACCAAAATATCAGAATGTGAAATGTCTCAATGACCATAGGCACCCCCAAAGATATGGCTGATACCCTCTGTGCCCCATTGGTTCAGAATAGTTTATGTATGTTGCCCATTCAGGTTACTCCTGGGGAAAAAAGTGAAACAAGTTCTTGTTTTCAGAGGATAATTTTTGGCATTTTGTAAATACACAGGTAATTAGTCCAAATGGTGGAGGCTTTGTTTCTCTTATTTCCCCAATTTTACAATTACGGAAAACAAGAGACATGAGAAAAAAGGAACACCAGGAAGTGGTACACTGAGGGGTCCCAGGCATTGGCTGAGGAGAGGGCAGCCAGGCTAGTTTTGTGCCCAAGCAAGGCTGGTCCCTGAGAGCTGAGGTTGCCCCACCTGAGCTGCTCTATCCCTGGTTCCTGGGCTTGGGGCCCAGCATCAGGAATGTTTGCTGGACATCAGCTCTACTCCTACCTTGCAAGAGGCTCTCTGGAGAATTTGAGACAACCGAGTCAAGATTTTTAAAAATCATGCCTTCTCTTAAAAAGAAAGCCTCAAAGCCCAAGTAAAAAGAACAAATCTGTTTATTGAATTACTTTTAAAACCAGAAGTAATAAGAAGAAAATTATATATATATATATATTTTCCAGAGCCAAGGAAGCATGAAGACAGCAAGTAATCTTATCACCCTACACAGATCAGGGCAGCTAAGAAAAATGGGTCTCCTATCAGGCACAAGGTTTAAACTCTTCAGCTTTAGGAAATACCTCTCAGCCCTAAGTGATGGGTAGAATACTTTGAACAGGGCTGGTCTGTGCCAGTTCCCTAGACTCTGAAGTTAATAATGCTCCAGAGTTGTGCTCTGTACACACTTCACAATCATAATGGTGATCCTGAGAGCATTCCTGGTGGCATAAGATGGGCCTTAGGTCAAGGTTGAAAAACAACTCTACTTACACGGAAGATGGGATTTCCCCTGCATTGCCGGCTACAGTATCTGGCTTTGGTTCTGGTTTCTGGGGAGTAGCTGCCCGGTAGGGAGGGTCGGGAGGCCTCACAGGGGGGCGGATGATGGTTGGCTTTTCTCCTGGAGGACGCAATTTGCTGAAACTGTCAGGGTCTCCTGCAAGAAAGAACAACAAAAAGAACTTGGATAGTTAGCCAAGTGGAACACTACCCCTGAGAAGGTACTCAATACTGGAATTATCTGGGCTACCTCCCTTGGCCCCTATTTCTTTTTTTTAATTGAAGTATAGTCAGTTTACAATGTTCTGTCAATTTCTGTTGAACAGCATTATGTTTCAGTCATACATATATATGCATATATTCCTTTTCATATTCTTTTTCATTATAGGTTACTACAAGATATTGAATATAGTTCCCTGTGCTATACAGTAGAAACTTGCTGTTTATCTCATAAGGTTTTATATGCACTAATTTCATTTTTGCTGTATGGTGCTGTAATAGTTGGCTAGGGCTGCCATAACAAAAAACCACAGGCTGGGTGGCTTAAACAACAGGAATTTATTTCTCATAGTTTTGGAGGCTAGAATGAAATATTTCATAATCTTTTTCATTATACGTTACTAGAAGATACTGAATACAGTTCCCTGCGCTATACAGTAAGGCCTTGTGGTGTATATATATATACATATATGTATGTGTGTCTGTGTGTGTGTGTGTGTATAATAGAATACTACCTATTTTTTTTTTGGTCACTAACAACTCTGGATTTAGAAAAAAAATGCTTCCAGCAGTTAGCCCTAGAGAAAGCCTATGTTTGAATCCCAGCTCTGGAACTTCCTATTTGTATGACATAGAGTATATCATATCTATTTGCTAAGTCTCACTTTCTTCAACTATATCATCAAAACCAATAATATATTGTCTTACAGAGATAGTGAGAAGATTTACGTAGGTACTAATATGTTGAGTACTTAGCCTGACACATAGTTGGTACTTACTCAATGCTTGATGATGAATTTGAATTTGTTCAATTCATCATCACCAAAACTCAAGCCCTTTCACTTAGGCCTTGACTATTTTGTAACAGTTTTCTAACTCGCCCTCCTGTCTCTATGTGTCTAGTTTCCAGGTCAGTCAGTACAAAATAAATTCACATAATTTTGTAATAAAATGATTCTGGCAAGAGTATCATGAAACAGATGCATTGGGCTTATTCGATCTAGATAGCCATCAAGAATTCTGGAACAATGTGGATGAAATGTGAAATCATACATATGAGACTGTTCATGCTTGTTGATCCAGTCGATTCATTTTGGGGAACAGGCCCAAATAAATTAACCCAAAAGAAAAAAAAAGAGGAAAACAGTTGGCACAAAAACATGCTTCTTAACAGCAAAAAGCCAGACTCAACCACAAAGGCTAATAAGCAAACAACTCAATTCTTATAAGTGTTTAACCAATGTATGTGAAGTGTGAATTAACAAGGATTTGGGCTAGGTCAAAAATATACACGCATATAAAATAATATTAAGTGAAAACAAATCCACAAAAACTGTTCATGTCTTGATGAACACCACATGGAAACAGACACATGTGAAACTATGTGAAGGTGTTGGTAGATCTTGATATTCATTCAATTTTTATCAGTAAATCTCAATATTAATTAAATTTTATCTAACAAAACTTTTTAAGGTAAATGTAAATAATATTAACTTTAATCCATATAATACTGTTGTAAAATTTACCTTAAGTATTTTCACATTGTTTTTCTCCTTCATAAAGATTTTTCCAGTGACTATAAAATGTACAGGATAAAGTTCAAACTTCTTAACATAAATTTAAGGTCCTCTATGAGCTGGTCCCAGATTATCATCCCAGGCAAAAACACTAGACCTTAACTACCAGCTCTACTTTAGTTAAACTGAACTTCTCAATGGCTAATCAAAGTAAGCCCTTGACTCTTACTTCTAGGTGAGATAGTATGCTATAGTGTGGAAATTACAGAGTGTGAAGTTGGGTAGAGCTGGTTTTGAGGCTTTGTTCTGCTACTTCCAAGATATGGGACCCTAAGCAGCTTTTTCAACTCTTTGACCACCAAGTTATTCATCTGTGAAATGTGTATAACTCCTCCTTACAAGGTGATTGTAAGGGCTAAATTAGATGGCTGATAGAGAGTGTGTACCATACAGTAGGGATAACTAAGTTCTGTCCGGCTTCTTGCCCAATATATGTCCCTGTACTCATGTCTTATCTGTATTGTAACTGTCTCTCAACACTCAACTCAAATCTCACTCCTCTGAACACTCCAGCTGGCATAGGTAACTTCCATCCATATAAGCACTCAAATATTGCTGTGTGGGGTCTTTAAATTCCTCCATCTAGTCATTCTGGTGAGGGAGACAGACACGAAAAGGGATAAAGATAATACAGCACAATTGGTGTTCTAATGGAGGTATGAACCAAGTACTATTCATTTACACACATAAAAATTCTGTCTCTCCATCTGGACTGTATCTTACATTTCTCAACACACTATTCCCCTTAGCAACAGGTGGGGTACACAGAATTGCAGCTGAGAAAAATGACCAAAATTATAATAATAATCTGATTTTTCTAACATATGCTGTACTGTTCAAAGCACTCTACCAGGTAACTATTTAAGGTTAACAATAAGCTTCATAGGAAAGAATAGTAGATGGGTCTTATTTTCTTCATTTTACAGAGAAGGAAACTAAGGTTCAGAAAGGTGAACTCACTCATCCACAATCACATAGTTAGGTCTAAGTGGTAGAGTGAGGACTGAAACCCATAGCTCCCATTTCTGCATCCACTATTCTTCCCAGTGTCTGCTGTTTTGCTGTTATTAGTAGTAATATAAAAAATTATAAATTATAATAATAATGGTAATAAAATAACTGGTAAAAACTTTAGCTACCTTTTTATGGAACACCTGTTCTGTTCCAGGTACTGTGATACTATATTCAGTACTTTATGCATATACTCTCATTTAACATTGGCCACAACCCTGAAAGATAAAAAGTATTATGCCTATTCTATGGTGGATAAAACAGAGACACAGAAATGAGACATAACCTCACAATTCATTGGCAACAGATTCAGGTCCATCTGATTTCTGAAGCCCATGCAATCCCAAGTACCAGTGGTTCTCAAACCCTGGCTACACACTGGAAACAGTAAGATCATACAGTACCTGGGACCCATCCTCAGAGATTCTAGTTTGATTGATTGGGGTAGGATCTGGGCATGGGTATTTTCAAAAGTTCCCCAGGTGATGTTATGTATAGCCAGAGTTGAGAACCACTAGGCCACATGATGCTGCTTGCTCAATGCAGATCAGATTATAACAGCAGACAATATTGTTCCATTTCAACTGGTTGCTGGAGGGGGCGTTGGATGGGAAGCATATGCTACAGAGCCAGAAAACATTTCTACCTGAAGCTGTGTCCATCCTAGGGCTATTGCTTCCTTTGATGAGAGAGCCAAATGACACTCCTTAAAGTATGAAACCCATTCATTTCCAAGTTGCAGTCACATCCAAATAGATATCAACCCAAGACCTTGGAAAACAAAGGTCATTAACCTTGCATCCTCCCAGGCTCTTTATTGGGATCTACAACTTGATGAATGATTACAAGTCAAACTTTGAAGTAGCAGCAAAGGACTTTCTTCATTCATTGAAAGACCCCAATGTTTTTCTCTCCTGCCTGTAATTTGCCATAGTAAAATCACAGTCTCAAACTGAGGAGGCAAGGATGGAAGAGTAATAGTAGCTGGGAGTCAAGAGACTTAGATTCCAGTCTTAATACTAAAACTAACTTGCTGGGTGACTTTGAGAAGATCACTTCTCTACCTGTACAATGTGGACTTGGACTATTTTCCAAAACAATGGATCCATGATATAAGTCTGTAGACCTATATCTTGGCCTACTGACTTTTATATGCTACACTGAAATACTCTAGAAGCCAGTTGTGATCATGTACTTACCCAGTTTGAAAAAAAATATCCTGGGGAGAGGGCATAGCTCAGTGGTAGAGCACGTGTTTAGCATGCACAAGGTCTTGGATTCAATTTTCAGTGCCTCCCTTTAAATAAATAAATAAACCTAATTTCCTACCCCCCCACCACCAACAAAAAAAATCTCCTGACAGATAGACTGACAGATAATAGTTAGATTTAGATTTCATAGCCCCCTATTGCCTGCAGAATAAACTTAAACTTTTTTTTAACCTGGAATTCACTACCTCCTTCCATTTGGCTTCAGCTGATTTTTCTGATCTACCTTTTCACCATTCCTTTTCACATATCTTATAGTCCATACCAACAGTATTCTTTCTTGTTCCATGTACATGCCTTACAATTAATCATCTCTTTCCCAGATGTCCTTTTCTCTAATTTTATATGCCCAGATTTGTATCACCCATCAAGACTCAGCTTAAGTGCCATATCTATGGGAAACCTAATATGTTCCAAGTTCCTTTCTCTGACTCATATAACACTAGTCACCTTGCACTTTGAATCAAGGCTCTGTTTTTGTGGCTCTATCTCCCCTATTAGAATGGAGCAACTTGAGAGCAAGATTCAGGTGGGATTCATCTCTGCATTCAGTAAGTTGCTTTTCATGTAACTAGTATTCAATAAATAATTACTGAGAAAAAACTGGAGCTCAGATCATTAGAAGGACAATAGAAAAAGCTTTCCCTTTTGATGTCCCCATTTGTGCCATCTGTGACACAAACAAACATAACATACAAAAATTTCAGGGCTATTCTAAAACCTAGATTGAAAGGCGTTCAATATACTGGGTGTTTCTTGAGGGCTTTTGTGCCCAGCCTTATGCTCTCACAAGAGATGCACACAAATGATCTGACCTAGACTTTGCCATCCAGGGGCTTAAAACTGAGTTGGAGAATGAAGTAACACTCATGGGAAATAAATGTGAATATTGTAATTCAGCATCCACATTAGAGGGCCAAACTTGGGTGTCAAAAGAAGTGAGGTAAAAGAGAGTTCCCTGGGGCAGGGTCGTCAAAAGACATCATGGAGGGAATACCACTTGAGCTGGTCTTTGTAGGATGGCCAAGAATCCTTCCTTGTCCCTTTCCTTCAACAATGGCCCTCCTCTTTCTCCATGTTTA